AGGTAGGATATTGAGGTGCAAAGTTTTTTTGTCCCGTTTAATTATTATTCTTACATGTTGATGAATTTTATACTCATGAAAGTTAATGCTATGATATGATGTTCTATGATATGAATGATATGGCCATTCCGGTACAATGATATTATATGATACGATATGTTATGAGCTCTTACCGGATTTTAAAGATATGAGACGGTATGATATTCTGATATATGTGTTTAAAATTTTTATTCAGGATTGCACCATTAAAATTTTTATATCCTACTGAGTATTTCCATGTACCTCACAGGGTAGATCGGGTTATGTCGGAGCGTGGTGGTTCGTTGGTGTGTTGGTGCCTTGTTTCGCTGGTTAAAGATCTAAGTTAGCACGTAATTTAATTTATTTTAAATTTATTGCAATGAACATTTATTTATAAATAAATTTTCATATATGTTTATATGCAAATGGATATATGTAGTCTGCATTTTAAAATTAAAAAAATTGTAGCGAATTAAATTATGATGATTTGGGTCGTTACAGTCGCTACCTTTTCGAAAAGTAATTATGGGCCCAAAATGGACACCGTATGCAAAAGTCACGCTAAGTTCTTCGAACGTCGACAATCCAAGCATTCCAAATTAGCAAGTGCTAGTACTTCCACAAATGGCTAAAATCCCTTATGCATTGCAACGAAAAGGGTGAGTTCAATCCAAAGGGGTCGCTACCCTTCTGAAGAGTACTTATGGGCTAAAAACAGACACCGTATGCAAAAGTCACACTCAGTTCTTCAAACGCCGACAATCCCGAAGTTCCAAATTAGCAAGTGCTTGTTCTTCCACAAATGGCCAAAATCCTCATACGTCATGATAAAAAGGGTGAGTTCAATCCAAAAGGGTCGCTACCTTTTCGAAAAGTACTTATGGGCCCAAAACGAACACCATATTCATAAGTCACACTCAGTTCTTCGAACGCCGACAATCCAAGCGTTCGAATTAAGCAAGTGCATGTTCTTCCACAAATGGCCAAAATCCCTCATACGTCACAAATAACCGATGAGTTCAAACCAAAAGGGTCGCTACCTTTCTAAAAAGTACTTATGGGCCCAATACGGACACCGTATGCAAAAGTTACGCACAGTTCTTCAAACGTCGACAATCCAAGCTTTCCAAATTAGCAAGTGCTTGTTCTTCCACAAATGGCCAAAATCCCTCCTACGTTGTGACAAAAAGGGTGAGTTCAATCCAAAAGGGTCGCTACCTTTCCGAAAAGTACTTATGGGTCCAAAATGGACACCGTATGCAAAAGTTACGCTCAGTTCTTCGAACGCCAACAATCCAAGCGTTCCAAATTAGCAAGTGCTTGTTCTTACACAAATGGCCGAAATCTCTCATACGTCATGACAAAAAGGGTGAGTTCAATCCAAAAGGGTAGCTACCTTTCCGAAAAGTACTTATGGGCCCAAAATGGACACCGTATGTAAAAGTCACCCTCAGTTCTTCAAATGCCGACAATCCAATCGTTCCAAATTAACAAGTACTTATTCTTCCACAAACGACTAAAATCCTTCATACATCATATATAAGTGATTAGTTCAATCCAGAAGGGTCACTTCCTTTCCGAAAAGTATTTATGGGCCCAAAACGAACACCGTATGCAAAAGTCAAGTGCAGTTCTTGGAACGCCGACAATCCAAGCATTCCAAATTAGGAAGTGCTTGTTCTTCCACAAATGGCTGAAACTCCTCATTTGTCATGATGAAAAGGGTGAGTTCAATTCAAAAGGGTCGCTACCATTCCAAAAAGTACTTATGGGCCCAAAACGGACACCGTACAAAAGTCACGCTCAGTTCTTCGAACGCCGACAATCCAAGAGTTCCAAATTAGCAAGTCCTTGTTCTTCCCCAGACGGCCAAAATCCTACATACGTCATGACGAAAAGGGTGAGTTCAATCCAAAAGGGTCGCTACCTTTTCAAAAAGTACTTACAGGCCCAAAATGAACACCGTTCGGGGAACTCACGCTCAGTTCTTCAAACGTCGTGAAATAAGCAAGTGCTTGTACTTCTACAAATGGCCAAAATCCCTCATATGTCACAGATAAGAGATGAATTCAATCCTAAAGGTTCGCTACCTTTTCCAAAAGTACTTATGGGCCCAAAACGGACACCGTATGCAAAAGTCAAGCTAAGTTCTTCGAACACCGACAATCCAAGCGTTCAAAATAAGCAAGTACTTGTTTCTCCACAAATAGTTGAAATCCCTAATACGTAATGGGGAAGCGGAGAGTTCAGTCCAAATGGGTCGCTACCTTTTCAAAAAGTACTTATGGGCCCAAAACGGACACCGTATACAAAAGTCACGCTCAGTTCTTCGAAAGTCCAGAATCCAAGCGTTCCAAATAAGCAGGTACTTGTTCTTCCACAAACAATTGAAATCCCTCATACATTACGATGAAGTAGAGAGTTCAATCCAAAAGCTTGGCTACCTTTCCGAAAAGTGCTTATGGGCTCAAAACGTACACCGTATGCAAAAGTCACGCTCAATTCTTCAAACGCCGACAATCCCGAAGTTCCAAATTAGCAAGTGCTTGTTCTTCCACAAATGGCCAAAATTCCTCATACGTCATGACAAAAAGGGTGAGTTCAATCCAAAAGGGTCGCTACCTTTTCGAAAAGTACTTATGGGCCCAAAACGAACACCATATTCATAAGTCACGCCCAGTTCTTCGAACGCCGACAGTCCAAGCATTCTAATTAAGCAAGTGCATGTTCTTCCACAAATGGCTGAAATCCCTCATACGTCACAAATAAGTGACGAGTCCAATCCAAAAGGGTCGGGACCTTTCCAAAAAGTACTTATGGGCCCAATACGGACACCATATGCAAAAGTTATGCGTAGTTCTTCGAACGTCAACAATCCAAGCGTTCCAAATTAGCAAGTTCTTATTCTTACACAAATGGCCTAAATCCCTCATACGTCATGACAAAAAGAGTGAGTTAAATCCAAAAGGGTCGCTACCTTTTCGAAAAGTACTTATGGGCCCAAAACGGACACCGTATGCAAAAGTCACGCTCAGTTCTTCGAACGCCGACAATCCAAGCGTTCCAAATTAGCAAGTGCTTGTTCTTACACAAATGCCAAAATATCTCATATGTCATGACAAAAAGGGTGAGTTCAATCCAAAAGGGTAGCTACCTTTTCGAAAAGTACTTATGGGCTCAAAATGGACACCGTATGTAAAAGTCACCCTCAGTTCTTCAAACGCCGACAATCCAATCGTTCCAAATTAACAAGTGCTTATTCTTCCACAACTGACTAAAATCCCTCATACATCATAGATAAGTGATTAGTTCAATCCAAAAGGGTCACTTCCTTTCCGAAAAGTATTTATGGGCCCAAAACGAACACTATATGTAAAAGTC